CAGTCAGAACACCTTTAACTCATGGATCAAAGAAGAAATCACAAAGGAAATAAGAAAATATTCTGGCTTGAATAACAGTAAAAATAAAATATACCCAAATTTGTGGATGTATCTAAAGAAGTACATAAAGGGAAATGTACAGCTTTAAATGCTTTTAATAAAAAGAAGAAAGGTTAAAATCAATTATCTAAGCTTCTAAAACACCATAAAAGAAGGAATTAAAAAAAAAGAGTAGAAGCAGTAAAATAGAAAAACAATAGAGAAAATTAACAAAAGCATCAAAAATTGGTTCTTTAAAAGATTACTAAAATTTATTAAATTCCTAGCAAGACTGGTCAAGAAAAAAGGCAAGGATAAAGTTATCAGTATAAAAAATGAAAGCAGGAGAATCATTACAGATCCCATAGTTATTATAAGGACATTAAGAGGATATTCTGAATGACTTTATGTCAAAAACTTGGCAATTAGATGAAATGGACAAATTCCTTAAAAGACAGAACTTGCTGTATTCCATACTAGAAAATCTGAATAGCCCTGTATCTGTTTCACAAATTGAATTTGTAATAATAAAAACAAAAAACAAAAAAACTTACCCACAAAAACAAAACTTCTAGGCCCAGATGAGTTCAGTGGGGCATCCTTCTAAAAAGAATACCAACCTTACACAAACTCTTCCAGAAATAGGTGACGAAAGAACACTTCTCAGCTTGTTCTATGAGGCCAGCATAACCCTAATACCTAATACCAACACCTGACAAGGGCATTATAAGAAAAGCAAATTACAGGCCTATATCCTTCATGAGCAAAGATAACAAAAGTCCTTAACAAAATATTACCAAACCAAACAGCGAGATACATAAACGGATAACACATCATGTCCAAGTGGGATTCATTTCAGGGATGTTAAATTGGTTTAACATTTGAAAATTAACCAAAGTAATTCACCAGATTAGCAAATTAATGATTATCTCTACAGATGGAGAAAAAGCATTTTTTTAATTCAACACCCATTCGCTGTTCTCACCACTCCTATTTAACTTTGTACAGGAAGTTCTAACCAGTGTGATAAGGCAAGAACAAGAGATAAAAGGCATACAGGTTGGAAAGAAAAAATTAAAACTGTTTTTATTCTCAGATAACATGACTCATCCAAAGGATTCTATAAAAAAGAAAACAAAAACCTACTAGAACAAATGAGTGGACTTACTACGGTCGTAGGTTACAAAATCAAAAGTTTAAAAATTAATTGTATTTCTGTGTTCTAGTATTGAGCAATTAGAAAATGAATTTAGAAACAATTCTATTTACAATAATATCAAAAACATAAAATACTTAGAAATTTAACAAAGGATTTTCCAGATGTCTACACTGAAGACTACAAAACATTGCTGAGAGAAATTAAAGACCTAGATAGATGGTGAGAGAGAACACGGTAATGGATTAGGAGACTCAATGCTGTCAAGGTGTCAGTTCTTTTACAAATTGAGGTATAGATTCAGAGCAATCCAAATCAAAATCACATCAAGATTTTCTTTTAGAAATTGATTAGCTGATTCTAAAATTTATATGAAAACACAACAGACCTAGGACGGCCAAAACAGCCCTTACACAGAACAGAGCTGGAGGACCTGCACTACGTGACTTCAAAACTGACTCTAAATAATCAGTAAGCAAGACAGTGTGCTACTGGTGTAAGGGCAGATGACTAAAACACAGCATAATGTTGTACGTTAAACGTTACAGATAGAAGTTACCCCAAATATAGTCCAACCCTCAAATCCCTTTTTAATATAGAAGATGCCTAGATACACTGATTTTTTTCCCAGAATCATGCTCGTATTCCGTTTCAGAAATACAGACACGTTATGTCAATCAGGCGCTGTCATCCTTTCCAATTCTAACGCTCGGGCACAGACAGCGGCTCACCTTCTTTTGATAAATGTAGATAAACAATGATGTGTGTTCTAACCGGCAACTGAGGACACTTTAGGAAAAACGATTCGATGTCATTAGGAGGTCGGAATAAGTATTTTCAAAAAGCACATGTCCTTTATGGACCAAGACATTAACCAGACCCGTAAGTACTCCTGGCTGGCCTTTCACGAAGGTGGCGATTTCTGGCTGAAGTATGCCCGTCTTTACAGCGGGTGCATTTCTATCCGTCCCCTTTTTCAGGGGCTGTGCTGAAGATCTATAAAACCTGGATAATCAGAGACCGTCTGGATTTTTAAAAACTGCAGTCAGCGAAAGGCATGAAGACGTTCCTCTGCTGGAATGGGGGTAAACACAGCAAAATTTAACTGGAAGCAAGGCTGGCAGTGCTGGTTGTGATGAGCAGAGGGAGGCTTAAAATGCTTAAATTATGGAAGAACACTTGATTTTATAGGAAACCGTTTATTCGATAAATATAATTTCATAAACTACCAAGATGTGCACAGTGAGTACACTGTGTGTACTGGCAATGCAGAGAAGTTTAAAGGGTTACATCAGACGGCCACAGTGTCGGAGGTCCAACACCTTAAACTAAGTATTGCCACGATATTGCTAGCTAATTCCTCATAGAAATCTAACAATCACCAGGATTATAGACATATCACTAGTGATGAGCTATTTTTTGTAGGAATATCATTCAAGTTATCTCACGTAAAACACACTTGTTTTATTTTTATGAAAATAAACGACTCATTTCAAGATAGAAATGAAAATGCCTATTAAGAGGGACCAGAATGAGTAAAATATGCTTTCTATGACTCTTTGGTGTGACAGTGTTATTAATACCTGCTTGTACCAGGCCCCCTACTGATGTTTACAGGAAAAACACAAACATGGAAGAGTCTCCCTTTTCCCTCAATGCCAAGAGCTCTTCAGAGGAGAAGATTTAAAACACTTTCACCTAGTAACTGTAAATTGTTCAGCGGCCTCGACTTCTGCCTATCAGCAGGAGTCGCAAGCTTAGCAGACAGGTCCGATTTCACAACCCTAGGTAGCAGCAGTGGCCCTAGCCCTGGTGCGGATAATAGGGCCGAGTACAGGTACCTTTTCACAGGGCGACTTGCCCCTGTTCGAGGCTCCAAAGTAGCACGAGGGCTTGGGTCAGGACTGGGAAGCTTTGTATACAGTGAGAGTCCAGGACGAGGGCAGTTAGAGAAATTCGGACTGTCAATCGCCCCTTTTGTCCTTCAATCCCAAAGCAAGCCTTGGGAGCTGCAGTCCCCCCAGCCCTCTGTCAGGCTCCTCCGAGGGTGAGCCTCCATGTGCTGGGTCACCTAGAGCAGCTGATGGGCAGGTGTGGACACTGACTCAGTGCTTGCCACTATCTGCACGGCTGCAGCCTTCCTACTGGGTGCCGGCAAGCGAGCTGAGGCCCACCGATCTGAGGCCACTCGGTAACCAGCGCTAGCACAAGCCCGTTCAGCATCTTACTCGGTTCTGGCAGATAAGAACCCGCCCCTTGCTGTCGAGTCGATTCCAACTCACAGCAACCTACAGGACAGAGTAGGACTGCCCCATAGGGTTTCCAAATAGTAGGTCAATTATGAACATCATATTTTGCAAAGAACTTTTCAGTAATATGCAAAGGGGAAACTTTTCTGTGCTTACTGGTTATGTAGCAATCGTTGTATAGTATGAATGTCAGCGCTAGAAAACTTCAATACCTGTAGGCTGAATTATGTTACCTTCTTAAAGAAATTAAAAAAGAGAACCCTTTTCTTACAAATACAAGATAATCTTCCTTTAAATAAAACAGGTTTTGAACAACAGAGTAGGATGATGCCACTGACCTTTTTTTGATAGAAAGGTCTTCTGAAGGGACATCGAGATTGTAAACCACACGCGAGGTGCCGTGCGGGCCAGCTGACCTCTGGGCTTGCTCAGAGTGCCGCCGTGGGTCACAGACGGCTTGATGGCTTTGTGGTCCTTCTTGGTGTCGGACCTCAGTTATCTGATGGCAAAGAAACACTGCAAGGTAGCTGTAATGCAGGCTACTGAAGGTTGTTTTGTTTTATGTACATTGTATAAGACATTCGAAGAAAAAGCAAACTCTGTACTACCCTCCGCCAAATTAGTCTGTTAAATATTTCTGCAATGCTTCATCTTCTGGCACATGGATTGGTGAGTGACACAGTGTGGACCATGTATTGTTGCTTTATTTCCAGAAAAACAGTATCTTCCTAAATACAGTACCGGAGCATCTAAGTTAAAGAATGACTATTTATGAAAATTAATATTTAGGCTGAAACTTATAACCTAATATTCTTGTATCATTGAAACAGACAGAAAGTTGTATTAGCAAGGGAACAGTTTACTAGGGAACAAAGGCATAGTCTTAATCCTACCATTGTTTCCCACCAGTCCATCCCAGAGAGCTAACAGTCACCGAGCAGGAAGGGGCAGAGTCTGTGCGGTCATCACCCAAAGAGAAGTGATTATATTCTCAAGTGAGAACTTTGGCAAAACATCATTTGACCATTTTCATACAATTTTAAATGTAATCATTACATGCTAAGAGCTGGGTGCTAGTTCTTAATCCAGTACTCATTTCCAAGTTTTTAAACCAACTTTACTTTTCATCAAAACAAGTGACAACGCTGAATTTACATGATAAATTCAGGATAGAAATTAAGTATTGAAAGTGCAATGAGTTAATTACAGTCACACGGACCTGATGAATCATTCTCAGCATTTTCAATTATTGCTGCGATTGCCCCATAAACATTCAGCATTTTAGACTTCGCTCATTTACACTGTACAGCCACACCTGAAAACATACCTTATAATGGGACAGTGGGTAGATTTCACTTTACTGTGGTAGTCTGCTGTAACTCAGAAAACATACAATGACTTAAAAATAATAGGCTTTTTATCTGAAATCCTAGCTTACAAAAAAGGCAAGAGCAATTCTTGATTGGCCACAGAAAGAGGCTCTTCTCTTTTATTGATTTAATTACCCAACAATATTTTGATTTGTATAATTAAAAGTATTTATAATATTATTTAAATACTGTCCAAACTTGTTTTTATTGATATATTTGAACTTTACAACATCATCATAAAGTACCATAAACAGAGCCTTCAGGATAAATAAGAAAGGGGGAAAAAAAAGCAAATTTAAATATATTAACCAGATTAAAGCATGCAGAAAATTCAATGAACATATTAAATTAATAATATGCTAATGGTATCTAATTTACCCACTGTAGGTTCTTCATATTCTGCCACAAAAATATTATTAGTAAACATCAGTTTGAAATTTGGTGAATGGATCTGATTCCTGATTTATATATAAGATAGCAGGCACCTTCGCCTTTGCATGGCTAACTTTACTGGCTGTATTACAGTGCACTCAGAGAAGGCTGGAACTGGTCTGTTTTCCACCCACACTGCAGTAAGTGATGGATGGAAATGCATTCCCCTCAGGTGCTCTGTGAATTAACAACATGGGTCATGGAGGGACCAAAATTCCTCACTATTCACATCAACTTTTCCCAGGAAAAGCTTCAAATAGAACTCTAATAAAAAAATAGAGTTTTCAAGGCAAACTTTTCAGCATAATTTACAGAAGCAGATTTAAATAGAAGAGTCAGTAACTGAGCTAAAAAATACACAGAACTGGGAGTTAGTTTTCTCCCTTTACTACTTTGATATTAAACACAGTGGCCTCAGCAATGGGCTGAAATGCCTTAAAAAAAAAAAAAAAACCCGTTGCTGTTGAGTCGATTCCGACTCATAGTGACCCCAGAGGACAGGGTAGAACTGCCCCATAGGGTTTCCAAGGAGCAGCTGGTGGAATCGGACTGCCGACTTTTTGGTGAGCAGTCAAGTTCTTAACCACTGTGCCACCAGGGCTCCGAAATGCCATTAGGAGTCCCAAAGCAAGAGGGACAGTCCAGACAGACGTGGAAAATGTCTCCTTTCTGACAAATTTTAACATGTTCAGATTCAAATCCAGGGCAGCCTGAGCAGCTCATGTTAATGCTTCGTTTGCCATTGCAACTCTGACTGGGCATGAACTCTCCAGAGACTTCGGGAAGAAATATTGCGGAGCCAGCATGGCCCCTGAAAGGTTCATCACACTGAATTTTAGGAAAGGAGGTGAAATGTCTCCCACAAAGCGCTACTGGCCCTTTAACAAGTAGACGAGTCCATTGTGGAGAGAGTCAGAAAGCTCCTGTCGTTGGTACAGAAAGGCTCCGATCCACTCCAAGATCTAAAGTAACAAGAAGAGAAAAGTTTGGCTCACCAGGACCTGTTTTCATTGAGAAAAAAATTCACTCTAAAACTTAGGGCCAAAATGTAATTTGAGTTTTAAAATAATCGCTGATTCATTTTAAATGCCAAAGTGAAGTTCTTCATACGAGCATTTAATGCCCATTCTATTTATATTATACAAAACTTGAGAAAAATAATACTCTAGTCATTATATAAAAATATTAGCCAAAATCCAGACATTCATTAACATTAAAACAATTTCTACAGGTAGCAAAGCATGAGACGCTCCTAAAATTTTAACAATTCAACACGAAATAAGTATGTTATGAAGAGTTACGTACATTCAGTTTCACGGAAAAGCAACTCTATTTTGACATTACAGAAACAAAAAAATCCCACTTACCAAAAGCGTTAGAATGAAGATAGTAATATGTTCATATTATTGGTTAATTCTTTTCACTATAAATTCTACTCTAAAGATTTTAGCATAATTAGCTTGAACACAGCAAATGGCTTATTGGATAGGTACCGAAGACACCTCTCGGGTCACTAGGGTTCTCAACAAATGGCCCTCTACTGATTTGGAAAAGTCAACTACTGGCTGAATGACAAGGCCCATAAGCAATTCATTATGCAGTACTTTCTTTGTAGCTGTACTAATTCAAGCTAAATCAACCCAAGGTCAAAAATAACCTGCTGTGCTTAAACTACACTAACTATCTCAAGGACCATTAGGATCACCCAGGCAGAGGAGGCTTCTCTGCTGAGACGAAAGCATCTAGTAAATACATGGTACCTCACTTTTGCCAGGACTCTCACCTTCCCTGAATGTTAAAGGAAGAGACCGTGCTTAAAATAGCCTCACCTTCATCATTCATACAGCTGCTGATTCCCAGAGACTCTTGGTTTGTATGAAGTTCAAGTTTAAACCAGTCATTAAGTGAGCACAGCCACAATGAAGTTTAGACTCTAGAAATTCTAGGAAGTCGGCCAACAGGCGGACAAACAATCAGCAACCACAGCAGTGGTCCACTGGTTCTCTAGTTTCACTTGTTTCCAGAAAAGCCTGGACATTATCTCTGGCTCACCACTGTCTCTCGAGCACCTAGGACCGTGCCTGGTACATAACAGGCACTCAGTGTGTGTCAGATAAATGGGCGAACTAAGAATACGAACACTTCTTAAAGAGCACCATGTTTTTACACAAATAACGCATGCTTCTACGTTTGTCTGCCAGGGGCTCCACCACCCACAACAGCTATTTTTCTTAAGTGCTATGAAAAATTTTTTTTTTTTTTTAAAAAAAAAAACAGCAACATGTAAAAACAAAAAATGGGCATAGCAGTGCTTACAAAAATACCTCGCAGGAGGAGGGAGCAGTTGACAAATGTAGAATTCATACCTTATTTGCATAAAAATATGGTAGGCATTTATGGGGTGAAGTATACTCAGATACACACAACCAAATGTAGTATGTATCAACACCTCAGTTATCTGGAATCAAGTTTCCAATCCCAAACTGCCAATATTTTATATTTTCCCTCTTTTCCAACCATTGTTGAAATAGAAGAATCTCATTAGGTACAGCTTTCCCTTCATTTTTAATCTTTTCAAAGCACATGTGTGCATTCATATGTTAAATATCATATTTAACAGAACATTAAACAAACACCTGAACTACATATTAACTATTAACCCATTTTTACTTAAAAGACAGTTTTGATTAGGATAAAGTCATGTCAGTAAAATACATACAGAAAATCATTTATCGTTAAAGTTCGGTTCTTTAGGGTACAACATGGCACCCTGTTCATACAGCACCACGATGCTCTCTCTGCAATATGGCATACTCCTTTGACAACATCAAATAATCAGATGTAAGTAGGCTTTCTGTGCCTGGATGGTAAAAGTTTAACCAGCAGAGAGATCTGGGACATAAAAGCACTAGTTGTCTTTCTCAAATGACCCCCATTACCTGTCATGTTTAATATGTAAATGGAACAAATACCCAAGGGCTTCTACCTTGTGGACTGGAGGTCTCAGCCTTGCCCTCTCTTTTAAATTAGACATAAAATAGAAATGTAGTATAGAGGCTGCTCCAAAATTAATATGGAATTGCCAAATACGTTTTACTAATACAATTATACATAAAAAACAAAAACAAGACTCTCCATATCGAAATGACTTTCGAAGTTTAAGTATAATGTTAACGGATCTATGGCAATTTTCATAGAGCCCTTTGGGAAGCACCAGTAGTTCTGCATATTGTTTTGATTTTATTCACTTGAAAAAAAAAAAAATCTGAAAAGATTTTTTAGATCATTCAACAGAGAAAACAAAGGGAGACAATAGTAACCAATAATATAACCTGAGATGTTGGACAAAACTGGAAAGGTATTTAGAGTCTGTCAAATATGATAATAATAACTAAGTTGAACTTTTTTGGAAAGTAAAAAAATATGGTACAATTTTAAGTGAAAAGAAGTACTGATGGTAATAGCCACATTCAAGAAAACATGCCCAAATAAATCCAATAAACCCTGGGTCAGCTGCAGAACGGGCAGTGCGGCACAAAAAGGGCTCCGTGAAGAATAATGGGCCATAGTACCTAAATAATTAATACCAAGAAAATGAAAATATGTATAAAACAGAAAAATCTTGGCTCATCCAAAATTCTAGTTTTTCTTTTTTAACATTAAGATGTATACTGTCACTGAAGACAACTTTTTGTTGAAGCAGAAATTTAAAAAATTCTGTAGAAGTTTTAGAATAGTGTCTTATTCTAACTCAGCCTCGGCTCTGCGCAGTGAAGCTATGTTAATAGGCAGAATTACACTATAAATTAAATCCTTCTGGAACTTCCTTTGGGAAACTCCTTGCCCTGTGAATACAACTGAGCTGCTTTCTTATAACGTATTTTATAACACAACTGTGTAAGTAATAACAAAGTCCCAATAAGTTTAATTGCTCATAGTAATCCTAGATGTGGAATAAAATTACTATAAAACGATATTGCAGAACTATGGAAACAGTCTGATCATGTTATAATCAAATCAGAATAAATGGGGAGTGGTACCATATATATTCTATTAACATAGCAATGCTATTTATTAATGCAACTGTACCAGAAAGACACAGCCACAGCTAAAGGTAAAGTGAGAACTGACAAGTTTGCCATGACAGTTATCTGGATTTTACGATACATGAATGATATCATAGACATCATTTTTCAAAACGCCAAACTAAACAAATGTTAACAATTCTTCTATCAATGGATAAGAGCGGCACCTCCTCCATCTCTTGTCCTCTGCTCCTGGAGTACTTCCTAACCCTTTCTCAGCCATTTGCAAGTCGAAAATGATACTATTCATGTGGCACACCGGGGACAGAGGGACTCGATGTCTATCCCTGCCCAGCTGTAGCCCATTCATGCACCCCGTGGACTGCTGCCTGGATTTCGGGACTATGATATCATTCACATAAAGAACACCAAAGTGTAGAAAAAGTAATTTCTACCCCCAAATAGCCCCTAAATGATGACATGCCTCTTGGGGAAATGTATGAAGAAATGAATCCGTTTCAGTTTTGAATAAATCTTAAATGACAGTCTATTTTTAGATGGTATTTTTGTTATCATCCAGGAAAGCAAGCCCTGTGACAAATCTAATTCAAGAAGCAGATTTGGGAGGCAGCAAAAATGCTCAGTCTTCTAATCCACAATTTAAAGGGCCTGTTATAAATGATAAGCTTTTAAATAGACTGTAACTACCAAGTGGGAGAAACTTAAAAATCATGACTCATCTCAAAACCTCATTACAGAGAAAAAGGCGGCGAGGAGAGCCCCAACCCAGCCTTCTGCGTTCACAAAAACCTCAGCGCCTTGGATGACTGAGTACAAAGCAGACGAGAAGAATAAGACAAGCAGAGCTTTCTGACTTCACTAGTGTGCGTACATTATTTTGTAAAGACAAAAAGCAAAAAACAAACAAAAGAAACCCTGCAAGAAAGAAAACAGGAGTACAGGTATACTGAGAAAGAGTGCCATATACACACTCCTATCCATCACAATGCAGAAAGACTGTAACACACAACTTTCTGTCCCTTAGATGAAAAGTCTCTTCAAAGGTGCTTTCTCTTCCTTTGAGAGTGAAAGAGCCCCCCACCCCAAAGCCAGGCGTGAACTCTACCATAGCAGAGTGCTAACAGGCAGGACACTTCCTGCTCCACGCGGTAAACCAGCTGCTGGCTTGTGAGGTTCAGCCCGCTCCAGTTTACTGGGAGAGTTTCACACCTGCTGACAGGGGCTGGGCCACATCTCCCTGTTACTCGCTCCAGCATTCTTCCAACAGATGTGCACGCTGCTTCCCCTCCTGAGAAACAGCACACGGAGTCCAAGCACTTGATGCCTGAATTTGTTTCAGTAAGCTGGAGGAGACAAAGCAGAAAATATTAGTATTTACAGATTTGGACTTCCAAAACGCATTTAAAAAACACTACAACCACCACTTTAAAACCAAAAGCAATGAATATAAGTATATAGATGTTTCTCTATAGTATGGAAATTTACAGAAGGCTTTAATAGAGTAATCATATAAAAAATACTTGAAACGCACTATGTCCTAAACTAGAGGTCTAGTAAAATAATTATATAAAAATAAGTACCTGGATACTATTTAAATTTGCAAAGATTTAGGCTGTTAATATCACATTATATTTATATTTTAATATCAAATTTATTATGGTCAAAAATGATTTATACCAACCACTCAGGAACTTAATGAGCTCTAATTTTTCCTTAAGTTTTGGTTTGGGTGAAATGCTTGTACAACTTCAATTTAAAATGCCTAGCAATTGAGAAACGTGGAGTGGGAACTGTTTTGAAGACTGGCAAGGAACAGCCAGGCAGGAGCTGACCCCAGTCTTCCATGATAATAATAACAACAGCAATAACCACGAGAGTCGTGGCAAACACATGCACAGTGTTGACTAGTCTAGGCTCTGAGCACTCTGCGTTCGCCCATGCCGTAATTATCTTTGAAAAGAATACCACTGACTTTAAATTGTTAAACAACTATTAGAGTGCCGACCACAGCCGTAATCGGCTCATCTTACTTTTAAAAAATTAACTGGTGGTACGTGGATTAAAATTTATTAAATGTGCACATAAGTAGTACTATTAAGATTTCAAATTGAATCACTTTCTGGAAGTATACAAGATTTAAATCAATTTATGCACAAATAACTCAGAAAGATAATTTAATTCCATACTACTAATAATTTTAATCATGTTAGAACGAGGGGAAATGGTATGACCACACGCATCAGTGAATCCCAACCCTGGTTTCGCCAGAGCCAAGGGTGCTCCAAAACTTCTCAAGGGCTGTTATGTGAAACAAACTTCTTTTGATTCTTGCCTTTATGTATATAACACACTGCATGACAAATCTCTGCAAGGCGTAGAGGACGGAGAACAGAAACATAAGTGCGTTAACGTGCTCCAGTTCCACAAGGGTTGGGAATCACCACGTGGAAGTGCAGACATGGTGGCAGAGGACATCTGTGGAGACGCTCACAGTGCACACAGGAGACAGATGTGGCGGGATGGCAATAACCTGGCATTCTCAACCACAGCAGCTGGTGAGGTCCTGCAGAAGCCCAGGCCACAGTGAGCCTGCCAAGACCAAGCGGTGCGAGGCAGAACATGGTTCCGTTTGCCAACTGCCTGACCGCACCAATGTCCCAGGGTCTGCTGAGCACTGAGAATCAGCCAGACTTGACTTGTTCTTCCGTTACAACACCCTTGGTTTAGGGCTGTTAGGGCACTGTTTCCTAAACTGTGTTTTGCGAGATGTTTACAGACATTTCATGAGAAAACAAAAAAAAAAAGGTTCTGCGGTCAATTAAGTTTGGGCAACACCAGTTTCTAACCACTAGCTCTGGAAAGACTTTCTGAATAAAGGACCGTCATGAAGTCAGGATGCACGGTCAGCCTGGGGGTTGGGGGCTAGTGAGATCAGAAACGCTGATCAGCAGAAGGAACCGTACTACTGGACGAGTGTGGGAAATGCTGGACAGGTGGCAGGATTCCATCCGTTTCCCAGCTTCCTCCCTGGGCCCCTGGCTCCAGTATCTCCCAACCTCAAAATCGCTCTGCAGGACTCTGGAGCTCCCACGCACTCACAGGATGAAGTCCAACCTCAAGGAGACCTCTGAGGCCCTTTATAATCTGACCTCAGCCTGCCTTTCCTGCCTACATTCCAACAGTCCCCAGCAGTCTACACCCCAGCCGTCCAGGCAGTACTCTCTGCCTGTGGTCACAGGTCAAGGACCGTCAGCAATTTGGGTCAGAACGCTGATCCTACCAAGGTCCAGCTTAGACCCATCATCTCCATGAAACCTTCCTCACGTTCCTAACTATGAGTCATGTCTTTCTCTCTGGATTCTATTTCACTGTTTGCAGCACCTCAATGGCACAAACACTTACATTTAATTCAACTCATATTTACTGAACAAGGCACTCGCTGGTTCCTAGAAGGGATAGCAGTTCTGCTCTTAATCTAGGGAGGCAAGGGTAAAGAAAGGGTACAAATAATAACAGCAGTTGTACTCACAGAGTGTTTACTATGTATGTGCCAGTCACTACTCACGAAAAACGACTGTCTCATGTTTGCCTTATTTAAAATTTCGAACAATCCTTTGGAATAGGCAGCATAACCATCCCATTTAACAGATAAGAAAATAGAGAGGTAAAGACTTTGTTCAAGGTCACCCAGCTGGGACTTGGGCCTTGGTTTGATTCCAGCGCCCAAAGCTCTCTACCATGCCACTCCACTGCCTCCTTACAATTATGGTAGGAGGCCAAATACCAGGAAAGAGCAAGAAAAGCTCAAGACCAGCTAGCTGCTGGTGGTGGTACTGGTGGGGCATGAAGGACTTGATGAGAAAGACGGCATCTGAAATACATCTTGAAGGATGAGTGGGATTCCAGCGCTGGAGATGGGGGAGAAAGGGCCTTCCAGGCTGAAAGAAGAGAGCGAGTAAATGAATTTGTGAGGGCAGAGAAATACGGTGCGTACTCAAGCGTGATTCAGCCTCAGCGGAAGCGACAAGTAGTCCCTACCGTCCCTTTGCAAACAGACCGGAGCCGTGGCTCGGAGTTGGCCTGTAAGCACGCTGTGACTGTCCACAAGAGGATAACTATTTCTGGTCTGTAAGAAATGTCTATGGCAAGTTGACAGAATACTTTTATAACTGCTGAATCGAATAATGTAAAAATTGGGGCTTATTTTATGTCTTTTAAATTTCATTTTTCAAGTAATTTTTATGACATTTTACACAAGCATTGATCTGTGATGGACTGGAAGTTAAAAACAAACTGGTCCTTCACCTCCCTTAGTTTACAGACCGCTAACTAGTCCAGAAGCTCGAGAGAGCAAGCATCTTGTCTAGTACCTTAGTTTAACAACATGTGCTCTGCCCACAGTTGGTGCTCAACACTGGACGGCAATCCACTGAAGACAACACCTGAAAGGTCGGACGCCTCTGAGGGTCCAAACATGTGCAAAAACACTGCTTACAGCTAAATCTGACCTCAGGGAATCCTCTCGCTTCGCATTCATCACTTTTTACTTTAAAATCTAAAACAGAAACTCCAAACTTGTTGCCGTTGAGTCGATTCTGACTCACAGCGACCCTCCAGGACAGAGCAGAACTGCCCCATCGGGTTTCCAAGGAGCGGCCGGTGGATTCAAACTGCTGACCTTTTGGTGAGCAGCTGAGATCTTACCCACTGCGCCATCAGGGCTCCTTAAAAATCGAAGAATAGGTATTAAAATATGGTCAACACAAAAGAGAGGGAACATCTAGAAAACCATCAAAAGTATCATAAAGAATTGACCTCTTCAGATCACCTCTTAAACTAAGCAAAATACATTTCCATTTTTCCCAATAGAGAAGAAAACCCAGCTGCTTTGGAAACGCTGGTGAGCTGTGTTTCTGGAAAGCTGTCTATAGAATATACTGTTCTCCAGCAAACCTACACACTTTAACCACCTTCCATACACACATCTTTATCTCATATTTGGAACCGGGCGCCTGGCCAGAGTACATGGAGCCATAGCTGCAGGATAACAAGGCAGTGGGAGCTGGTGAAGCATTCAGACCTCATTTCATTCAGAGAAAGAAGGGGATTATTACTTTTTTTAACAACAGAAAACTACTACTTATAAATACGAGAAGGCAGCCCTGGTGGCACAGTGGTTTAGGGCTTGGCTGCTAACCAAAAGGTCAGGGGTTCTAATCTACCAGTGGCTCCACAGGAGAAAAGACCTGGTGATCTGCAGATTTCAGCCTTGGAAACCCTATGGGGTCAGTTCTACCCTGTCCTACAGGGTCGCTATGAGTCAGAATCGACTCGACAGCAATGGCTTTATAAATACTAGAAACGAAAATGACGTACAGTAATAAGAGTGAGACCCTACCTGGTGGCACCAAGAAGTAACTTAACTGACCAAAGTTTTAATTAACTGGTAAACTGCCTCACTCTTGTCAATATTCTTCATTTTATTTCAACCTCCAGATGAAAAAGTTGCTCAATAAATCAGCAAAGATTTGAAAATAACACGAGTTTTGTAAAAAGTCATGCTTATCAGGTGAGGAGCTATTTGCTTACAGAAATTTCCTCATTTGAAAATCTATTGCTTTCAGTGGCAAACACCTGAATAAGTCTTTGATGGTTTTCTGTTCCTTTGCAGCTCACTGCTTTAAGAGCTAAGTGGGCAGTGGTGTGAGTACCTCTTACAGGAGAGGGAGCTGACTGGCGGTTGATTGACAATGTTTTGTGTGGATTCTGGCTGCCGGGGGCAGGTCTAGGGTTTAAGCACCTGAAGGCAGGATGAGAAAGGTCTGGAGTCCCAGCTCCCCGCTGCCATCCCTACAGGGCAAGTGACAGCTGGAAAAGCAGGGTCCAAAAAGGCAGAGACAAGGAACGACGGCAGAACAGAGGCCTGGGCGGCCGCTACCAACAAAAGGAAGCAGTAGGGAAGAAGCCTAACCCAGGGCAGTGTTTAGGGCTTAGCCTGCTTTGGCAAGGCTGACCAAACTTTGATTAGATATACAACTGCCACTCTAAAGCAGAAAAACTAGAAGAAGGACATTATGGACCACTTATTTTTTAATAAGGAGCCCTGGTGGCACAACTGTTAAATGCTTGACTGCTAACTGAAAGGGGCACTTTGAACTCACCCAGGGGAGCTGTGGGAGAAAGACCTGGAGATCTGCTCCCATAAGATTAAACCAAAAAACCAAGCCCACTGCCATCAAGTCGACTCTGACTCATAGAGACCCTACAGAAAACCCTATGGGGCAGCTCTACTCTGTCACATGGGTTGCTATCAGTCAAAATCAACTTGACTTCACCCAACAAC